CTTTAAATAATTTCAGTTCCATAGCTCTGACCTCCCCAGTTATCATGGTTTTGGTTCTGTTTAAGTTTTTTTCTTTTAGTTTTCATTTGATTCATTTCCATTTTGTGTTAATCTAGTTGTTTTGATTGTTTTTGAGTTCTTATATATTTCTTGTTTACCTTCTGTTGCCTCCTTGTTTCAGTTTCCTTCCCTAGCTCTCTTCTAGATGTTATCATCCACACCTATTCCTCGTCTGCTGATCAGACTGGTCTTTGTTCAGTCTCTATTATATTCTTCTATTCAGTTACTGTTTGCTGGCTCCTCCACATTTCTTTGCCCCCATTAGATTTTTCCATGACATCTCATGTATTTCTGGTTTTCAGTATTTTGTTTTTGGACTTTGCTTCTGTTGCCTTTGGGATTTTGATTAAATCTCTGCCTCCTCATCTCTGCATTTGGGTCCTCAAGCAACATCCACCCAACCCAGACAGAAGGAACCAGCCGTCATGGACCCAGCAGAACCCAGCCTGGAGGACATCCAGAAAGCCATGGAAGAGTGTGAGTGCGGTTGGCCAACGGAAGTAAATTCTTCTTCTAAACTCCACACTCCTTGCCACCCTAGAAATAACTGGGCTTTCTGAAGGAGCTTGAATGGAACCTACAAGCCGCTGCTGCTCAATTGCTCAATCAACCTTCTCTACCCAGACCATCACCTACCAGTTCACCTGCTCCCCGTGCGATTTATCTCGCACTGCCTTCTACTTTCAAGCTCAGGTACTGCTGCTGGTGGAAAAATGCTGCAGCCTCTCCAGCGGGTCAGTCTGACGCCACCACTTCCTCTCCGATGGGTCTGCCTGCTGCCAGCATTAGTCCAACACCAAGCCAGGTCAGTTTTTCCTGTGGTCTCAGATGTCACCTCCATGACCAACAGCTAGTTTCACAAGTTAGAACTCTTAAGCCAGTTCTCAATATAACCCCCCACCAAAAATCAAGGCTCCTCATCTCAAGGTGTCCCACTTATGGCAGTTTTTCTATGGGGAAAAGAATCTATTTCCTTTTCTGCCACCTCCATCTGTCCCCAGAAAGGCCTTGTTTCCAGTACCTGTAGCTCCTCAGTCAGGTCATGTTATAGTCCTTTCTCGACAATCAGCTCCTTTAGTGCCCTTTCTCCCCTGTCAGATCCTCCTAGTGTTCCCTCTCCTCAGTCAGACCTTCTTAGCATCCTAGGTCTTCAGTTATGTGAACTAACATTTCTCTATGTCCACAATATCTAATGCCTCTCCGATCGCTGTGTTCTCTCTCCTTTGTATTCATTGTATACTAAAAAAAGTTGTAGTACTTTTGAAAAACCGATATTTTGGTAATTTGAGACCAATAGCATGTTAATGTAGGGTGACCATATTTTCATTTGGGAAAACCAGGACACCTTGGAGCGGGGGGGTTGGGGGTTGATTGAAAGAACAAATGTCTCATCATTGGGATTTGCTCCGTGATCAGAGGAAATGTTACTTGGCGCACAACTGTGGTGAAAAGTGGAAGTTCGGTTTAATATAATACAACTCTGTGAATAGTTCCGTCTGAAATGAATTAAAAATAGTTGATTTAATGGTTATTGAGTCAGATATGTGGCGGTAATGTTTGGTTTATCTAAAGGTTTTAATCTGTTACTGTGTAAATGAGTTTGGCTGTAATTTAAGGACAGATTCTAATATATCTGCAGAGTGGGAACTATAAATCTGATAGGAGTTTAATTTTTTTATTGTTGTTTTGCACAATATGCTT